AGACAAAGAGACGAACCTAGCATCTTGTGCACTCGGCTCTCAAATATTCTAGCTCGGGTATTCAAACTCAGATAAAGCTTCTACCACGCGACGAAGCTTATTGGCAGTCTTGTTCGAATCCTCAGGAGAAGAGGACCGAGACAAAGAGACGAACCTAGCATCTTGTGCACTCGGCTCTCAAATATTCTAGCTCGGGTATTCAAACTCAGATAAAGCTTCTACCACGCGACGAAGCTTATTGGCAGTCTTGTTCGAATCCTCAGGAGAAGAGGACCGAACTTTGAGATCTCGCCATACTTGGCCTACAAGCAATCAAGCACTTGTTTGACCTTCAAACTCTTCCAACCAAACTTTTACCACGCGCTGAAGTTTGTCCGCAACCTCGTTCGAATCGTCAAATGAAAGTAAACTCGACACGAGCATCGAGGGAAACATCCTATCGCCCCAAAGAACTCACGTTAAACAAAAAAGAGATCAAATCAATTCTCTTTGCTTCTGTGTAAAAGTGATTTGGATTTGTAATAAACAATTCAATTAATACAAAATTTGATATCTCATTTTACGACCAACAAACTCACACAATAAATGAGAAGAAGATGGGGGAATGAGAGTAATAGAACTTTTTGGAGTGATGGAACTCGCACACTGAATGATATTAACAAATGACCAACTGACCCTTACCTTTTATCAAAATGATCCTCTATTCTTTAAGAAATTGAAGGAATAATGATATATCCTCCATATTTGTGTACCCCAACAATGATTTTATGGAGTCGTATGGATACTTCTCTGTGTTATTCTGTTTAGTTGATGTTGCGTAGAATAAACATTGTCTTAGAAGCTTTTATGCGACTCTTAGTTATTAAATATCTGAAAGTGGTATCATTATGTTGCTCTCTTTAACTCTTGTTATTTCTTTCAGACAATCTCAAGGCACCCGATGGGAGACATCTTTTGGTCAGATGCCTGGGTGTAAGTACTTATTCTAACATGAGCCTGCAACAGTAACAGCGGGTTCCTTTATGGCATAATCCAACTAATTGTAATCCTGCAGATAAATGGCTAGCTTGAATGTTCTCTTGTTGAATACAGGTACAGATGCACCCGCTGGAGGGAAATATGGTAGTGTAGGTAGCTTCGGAATGGAAAGAAAGATTGATCTAACAAATTACATTAGGTGGTGGCAGCCCAATAAATCCCGTCAATTAGAATCCGAGGAAGATATTGGAAAAGACCTCCGAGCTTTGGGATGCTCACCTATTCAGAAAACTGAGCCATATCAGCTTCCATCTCTTGGTCTTCCTAACAAAGGCAAGGCTCATGCTACACCAAGTTTATCTGCGTGCGGTATTCTATCTAAATCTGTGGCCTTCAAGAATTTCGTTGACAAGTCATCCGAAATTGAGACTAGTACTTGTCGTAATAATGAGATGGACCGTGGAAAGTCTGCGGTTCCTCTATTGTTTGCTGGCGGTAGTGAGCTTGATGTTGATAGATCAGCTGGAGTTACTTCAGGTCTATGTGACACTACTGTCCAAAGAACTCCATATACATTCTCTCCTATTTTCTCTGAACCCTTGAGTACTAGTTGGAATCCAGTGGATCCTGTATCTGACCCTGTTTTATGGAGTACCCTCGTTCCACCAACTAGCCAATCTATCACTGCGACAGTCAGTAGCTTTTCCATAATTCTAGTGTTTAATTAGCTGCTGAGGTTGAAACCCTTTCTGATACTGAATATATCTGTTGTTTTTGTTTGCAGATGAAAAAGAAAGACATAGATGGTGCATATTCTTACCAGTGCCAAGGATAAAACAGGGAAGGTTTTAATAGCTACAGCGGCATTGTTCTTTTTAACGTTGATCGCCCTCTTAGCGTGTTTTGGTTTGGGAACAGCCGTGAATTTTGTGGATTTATAAAGCTTTCGTTGATTGTAAAGGGAAAAGGAAGAATCAGTTACTTTAAGTTTTGGGATGTATATTACTGTTCCTTATCTATATAGATCTAAAAATTACGTTCTTTCCCCCCTTCATTATTAGAATTAACAAGTATAACCTATTTATCTAATTAAAGAAAGTCTAGCTTATCAAGATAGATTATAAAAATGAAATTAAAATTTATGCATAAATAATCATTTGAAAATAATAATCCTAGAATACTATTAAGTATAGATTATTAAACCACTTAAGAAAAGTATAACATATTAACTATTAATTATTATTTTGATTGATTAATTTATAAATAACTTTTAAGGCAGAAAAAGAGCAAATCTAAATCTAATAATAAGTTATACTAGTTTCTTTTTATCCTAATTATCCTAAGAAATTTAACCACATATATTATTAAATCCTAAAGTATAAACAAACAAGAAAGTATGAATAAAAAGGCAAGAAAAAAAACTAATTATAAAAAGCAAATAAAAGCAATAAAATAATCAAATATCTAAGAAAAAATTAATCTACTCCTAAATTAAGCAAGAAAAACTAAGCATAAAAATTAAACAAGCAAAACAAAGCATGAATTAAATTTAAACTATTCTCTTAAACATGTAATTTTAATTAAACAAGAAAATTTAAGAACTAAAAACTCACATTTCAAGGGGTTAACCCCTTGTGTAGACCCAAATTTCTTTACATCTCCATGAGAAAAAGAAAATTAAAAAGAGAGATTTTTTATTTTTATTGTAAAGCTAAACTTTTACAATATTTGGAAGACTTTCTCGGAAGAGTAGCCCTCATATCCTCTAGAAGAGGGATTTACAAAAAAATTTCACATGTCTCACCCTAACTTTCTATCCCTATTCATAGATTACATAAACCAATATGATCCCTTGGATCAAACTTGGCCCCTAAGAAATAATTTGAGGCTATATGATGCAAGCTTTAAAATTCTGCACAGGATTTCAGGATATTTACTGTTCTGCTACTGGTTCACTAAAATGACTATATCTTAAGTTCTACAACTCTAATTCGACTCAAACTTGATTTGTTGGGTTCATAATTAAAAGATAGAAAGTCTGCTATGATTCTCACATAGATCATACAAAATTATTCTGTAGACTTTCACTTGTAACAAGTTACAGTACATCCAACGACGAGCTATCACGGTTGTTTTTGCTTCGATTTTTCTTAGGCTTTACTTGGACTTTTCTTAGGCTTCATTAATCTTCAATTGGGCTTAAGATATCTTTATTTAGACTCTTATTTATTTTCTTTATTTTTCCTACCAAATAGGATAAAAACATTATATTAATTATATTTACATGATACTTATTTAAAATAGAGGTATGAAAATGCAATAGAACATGATAATAACTCTTCTCAAATATCTTTATTAGCAGGCAAGGAATTGCTAACATCTGGACTCAATCTGTGACACCCCTGGGTTCACACAAGGCTACAGTCCAAGGTGAAACCAAAGATATCAAACCTGTCATGCACCACACCGTGTAATAACATGTTTCACCATCACAATTACTATCTCTCTAGTAGAGTCAATAAAAGGTGTAGGTATAAAAACAAGTAAAAGATAATACAGAAATCAACAGATGAAATAATAGAATTCAAATTAATATCCCATCATCTAGCATACTAAAGTACAAGTCAATGTATGGAATAAATAACTGAAGTACTCAACAAGTCTCAAATACAAAAAAATATCTGACAAGAGGAAATAAGGCACACAACCTTTACAACTTCTAGAATAAAACTCTCAAATGTCTAAACAAAGGTCTACAGTGGAGCTCAAAAGAAAAATATAACTAAATAGACAGCTGAAGCTAAAATGCATTGCCATCAACCTGCGACTCTCCGGGCTCCTGGCTCGTTACCTGAAAGGGGGAGGGACAACGAGCGTCAAAGCGCTAGCGAGCAACATCACAACCAACCCCAAGGTATATGGCTCGTTGTATAAGAAAATACAGTTAACACATAATAATCTAAAATTTATTTATCCTAACAATAATGAGTTTTAGTACTTAGGAAATTATAACACAAGCATATGTACGTCGAGCGAAATAATCCAAACAAGGAAACCCTCATGTATATACCTTGTATCTCAAATTGTGAGTCCTTAAGTACCAAACCCGGAGTCTAATACATGAACAATAAAGAAAAGAAAACAAACTCATCTCTACTAATAAACATAGTCATGTCAAAGCCACAATAAGTATCATGTCCAGCCTAGGTAGCTATCATGTCCCAACTTTATAAATATGTCATGCTCCAAACTCGATTATGTATCATGCTCAAGGTTTAGCAAACGTCCAACACATGGACTAGATGTAATGCTTGTCCAACACATGGACTGAATAATATGCATGTCCAACACATGGACAGAAATGATAAGTATCCAACACATGGACTAATAGTGATGTATGTCCAACACATGGACTATAAATAAAGAGGTGCAACTGTCAAAGGTATATGTGAAAAGATATACATATCCTAAATTCGCACGTGTCTTGATATGCAGGTCTAAACTTGTGTCAAAAGTCAACCCCTATGTATAGATAAATCACTAACATTGAAATCAAATGTCAAGTCATCGAGGCGACCCCGAAAAGCAACTAAAACAGGTCAAGAACCTGTAAAACATCTCATTAGTCGACTCATGTGTCGACTGATGCAATCAGTCGACTCGTTGGTCGACTGACAAGATCAGGCAGAACAGCCTCAGCTCACCAGTCGATTGATCGGTCGACTGGGTAACTGAGAAAGTAAAATCAGCCCGTCAGTCGACTGATAGCTGATAAAATGCAGCCCGTCGGTCGACTGATCAGTTGACCGAACTGGCGCAGAAACTGTTTGTACAATTGATTATATGCAATATTATTTATCTAAAATCATCATCATCAATCCCAAGCATAAAGATACTGATTTTAACATATATATACTAAACTGAAATGAAAGATCTACATGTAAACATCTATCAAAAACCTTAAACATATAAAAAACATGTTTGATACATTCTGAAATTAATAAATCATGAATTAACTCTTGTCAAACATTTTCAGATCTAGATCTCTTTAATAAAACGTTGATGATCCTTTTTATAAACTGAAAAAAATCAATATTTCGCATCATATATTATAAAGATCTATTCTTTGTACTAAAAATACGTTTTAGGCTCAATAAAACTCATTAAAACTCAATAAATTTGTGAAAAACAAAAGGGACAGGGTTGAGTGAGATGTTACTCGCCTCTGGGGTGATGAAAGCTCCTGGATCTACGAGAGAGTGGTTTCTTTCGCTGCAAAGTGAAAATCTCGACGAAAATCCTCCGGGTTCTCCCCAAAATCACCAAGAACGAGCCTAGGGTTTGAGAGAGGAGAGAGGGGTCTAGGGTTTCTCAGATCTGATGATGAGAGGGGGTGATTTTGGGTAGAAGAGATCATATATGAACAGCCAGACCCGACCCAAAACCCGAACCAATCAAAATAGACCCGAAACCTAGAAAAACTAGAAAACAGCTCGTCAGTCGACTGATCTCGTCAGTCGACTGATCGGTCGACTGATCTGGCAATTTCTATTTCATGTATGTTTTGCTTATTTGCAAAACCAACGCACAAAACTCTAAATACATACATTCATATCATCTCAAATAACTTGTTATCATGTACATCTATGACCTCAAGCTATTTATCACAATAATTCACATATATACATAAAAAAAATGCGGGGTTTTCAATCTCTCGCTATTGTGAAGAAGACTTTTGTAGCCAAGGCTTCAATCGCTGTAGTATAGACCACATCAATTGTCCCTTCTTCCATTATTGGTAAGTGTCGAGACTACTGGAAATAAACTTTTTCTTGATTATTTCTGGCTAATTCATCTTATAAACTCCTTTTTGTTGGTTATAAATCAAATGTTAAGCTTATAGCATGCAAAATAACAAATAAATCCGAATGTAAAAAGAATCAGAATATCTGGCCTGATCGGGAGCAGTCGTGTAAACACTGCCTAGAAGATAAAGGACCCGCCTATCTCCCTGACGCAGATGGTCCCCTATCCTCTAGCGATAAAAACATCAGAATCGGCCGGCCTCTATACTCGGGCGAGAGAACATAGCTTCAGCTCAGATGAAGAAAATTGCCTAATAAAGTAAAACTAAAAATCTTTTAGAGAGGGGAAAGACAAAAGAGATGAGAAGAGATTTTTGTTTTCTGTGTTTTTTCTGAACTCACCCCACGGCTATATATAGTGTTCATAACCCATAATCGTTGAGTAAACTCCGCGTAACGTACGCAAAAAACGCGCGTAACGTTCGACCGTTATGCATAAATCTCGCAGCCGTTACGCACACAAAAAACATGCAAAATAAAACTAGAGAAAATAAAAAATGTGCACGTGCGGTGAGGCGTGGCGTGCACGCGTGCGTGCGTGTGTGTTATGCAAAGCCCAAACAATACAAAAACTCAACACACTACTCAAAGCCCAATAAGAGGATAGCCATTATAAACTACCAACTATTCATTTTATTTTCTAATGTGAGACTATTCACAAAGGCAAAATTGCCTTCTGTCAATAACATTGCCAACAGTCCCCCACAAAAGGTAATATTTGACTGAAAACACAAAAAGCAATAAATAAATCAATAAATCACAAAACAAATATAGGTTGGGTAATCTTTCGTATCGTGAATTCGGGAGAGGTAGCTTTTGGCTTTGAACCTTTTCTTAGTAAGTTCAAAGCTTATTTCTACCACATTGAACCTACATTGGGACTAAGTCTCCGAATAAAGGTTGAGTTACCATTGTCAGTGACCTCACTTATGGGCTTAACCCCATCTCCCTCGATGAATCCAGAACCACACTCTTGGATAAACCCTTAGTCTAAGGGTCAACAAGATTCTTCTAAAATTTTACAAAATTTAAGATCACAACTTTGCCTAGCAGACGTTGTACCCCCTTTTAAGCCTATAAATATCTAAGATCTCAGCTAAAAGAGCAGGAGGAATTTTTGGGAGAGCTCTTTGGAGATCCTTAGCT